ATTTAAGCACGTCTAGGGGAAAAATGAGCTGAAACAAGTTTCAACAAGTTTTCATTAAAAAACAAAATTTTATAGGAGTAAGTTTTTTTTTAATTTCGCTCAAAGTGGTCAAAAAATTACACATTTAAGTCGAAAATGATGTTTTTTTTTTTACTATTTTCGAGCATTCTACCACGTTTTGCAACTTTCAGTTTTTGAGTTATAATTTTTTTAATCTTAAAACTTTACTTAGTTGTGGAAAATTTGAAGTTTGTTAAATTAAATACAGTTCTTCAAATTGTCTGTTATTTTTTCTCTTTGTTTTTCTTATGTGATTTGGTATAAGCGCATCTTTGTCTAACAGTAATAAATAGAAACAGAAAAGAAGAAAAAGTCCAGTTCAAGATAATTGCCTTGATTATATTATTTGCTTTAAATTATGTTGAAAAGCAGGAGAAAGCAACATTTCACTCAAATAGGCCGAAAAACACCTAGGAGTATTTATGTCGAAAATTAGGTTTTTTTAATTTTTTTGTTAAAGATTTACTTTTGTTCTTAAGATTTCTTTTTAAATGAAAAATAACAAGTTTAAGTACGTCTATGGTAAAAATAAGCCAAAAAAACATTTTAAGAGTTTAAACATTTTATTTATTAAGGTCCAAGATTTGCTTGTTAAAAATTCACTTATTTCACAGGATTTCGCTTAAAAAGTCATGTTTTATGTTTTGTAATAATGTGAATTAAAATTTTGCTTAATGATCGCTGATTTGCGATAATCTTTGCAGCTTTTTTTGTCAATAGGGAGAGTAGGCAGTTTTGCTTTGGTTTCCTCAAAAAGAGGGGAAAAAGTGCACATTTACGTTAAAAAAATGACGATATTTGTACTTTTTTCGAGCGTTTAAACTCGTTTTCGAGTAAAAAACTTATATATTTCGGTAAGAAATCATTGTTTTTGGTGATTTTCTTTAAATAGACCAAAAAAACCACATACCTTGTACAATAAAATTCATTTTTGAGCGGAAAACAATTTTTTTTTACTTATTAATTATTAAGCAAGATTTCGCTTACAAATTTAAGTACATCTAGGGTAAAAATGAGCTGAAAAAACATATATTTTAAGCGTTTCAACAAGTTTTTATTATTATTATTATTTTTCAAATTGCGCTCAGGTGGTCAAAAAATTGCAGATTTAAGTGGAAAATTGTTATTTTACTTGACTTTTTTCTGGCATGTTACATGTTTGTAATACCCCCAAAAGAGAGTAATCTGTTTTTTCAGTCACATGCGAGAGCTTTGCTTGAAAAAGTCTTTCGAGAAGGCATATCTCCTGAATATGGATAAGAAAATAAATCAAAGACCCTCTCAATAGAAATCGCGGCCTACCGCTTGCCAAACCATTCAATCAATTGAAAGTGCCCGAATCGAGCCAAACCACGCTGACATCTCAACCATCCGAGTGAAAAAAATTACGTAAACATGACGTTGAGTCTGAGATTTATTGAAAGACGCGCCATTTCGAAAAAATTTGATGTGCACGCATTTGAAATTAAACCGTTCCACTTGAAACTCCAATAAGCATTTCTCATGTTTAATAATGAATCCGACAATATGAGGGTGAGTTGTTGTAAATGTCTGCGATATGGGCGAAACGATATATCAGATCGCATCTAAGCATTCCGATCTCACTCGAAATCAATTCTCTTCCCGCATTGTCGAGCCGCCTCCGCTCCAGATTTATATCCAGGACCTCGAGGTTGTCTTAACACGCTTAAAATACGAGCCTCATCGCTGCTTGACACCCAAACATTTTTACAAGCGATTATTTGCCTAAGAGAAACTTCAGTGATTAAATATGACTGGCTTAATTGTACGCTTCCAATCTTATTAGCATGTGCTGCTTCCTCTTAATTTCTTATTGTTTTAGCCGGAGGTGAGATCTTGTAAAGCGATATTTCGCCTAAACAACGGAAACTTTGCTCTTGATTAACTCAAAGCAAGGCGAATTTCGCGAATTTCTGTCGGTAGTGCTCAAATATTTCACCTGAAATATTATAGATTTCCTTTGAAACTTTGATCAACGCATGTACACATACCCACAATCTACTCAAATTTCATTTTATAATAAAGCACCATCGATCGCTTCTCATTATTGCAAAACTTTGACATTTTTCTGCTTTTCAACATCATTTAAAGCAAATAATATAGTCAAGGCAGTTTGATTTGAACTTTTTCTTCATTGCTGTTACTGTTAGACAAAGATGCACTTATGGCAAATCTCATGAGAAAAACAAAGAAAGAAAATAACAGACTGAAGGGTTGTATCTAATTTAACAAGTTTTTAATTCTTAATTTTTTACTATACTAAGTAAAGTTTTGGTATTAAAGAATGTCATAACTTAAAAACTTTGGGCTTTAGACGATTTTTTCTAAACATTTTTCGAAACATTATGAGAAAAAGTATTTTATTTGATTTTTTACCAAATTACTTGTAAATCAATTTTTATAAGTTTTATAATCAGTGTTGGAGATATTTCTGGTTTTAATTTCAAATTTTCTATTACTATGTAAAGTTTTGCAATTCGAAAAGAACACATATCTCAAAAACTATGGTCTTATTAAGTGCTAAAAGTACTCAAAAAAGTGAAATAAAGTAATTTTCGACTTAAGTCTGTAATTTTTTGATCACTCTGAGCGAAATCTTTAAAAAGGACCTTTTAAGATAAGAGCGTGTGTAAACGACCCAAAAATTCAAAAATACATAATTTAATTTTTGTCTCAAATAGATGATTTTTTGACCTGCTTAAGCGAAGTTTTGTGAAATATGTGAATTTTTAAAAAACTAATCTTAGTTTGTGTTTAAACGCTGAAAATAGATGTTTTTCGGCTTATTTTTAGTATAGACGTGCTTAAATTTTTGTTTTTTTGGCCAGTTTGAATGAAATCTTACGAACAAAAGTGAATCTTTGTGAAAAAAACCTCAAAGCAAGAAAACAAAATTTCCGACATAATTAGGTGTTCTTTAGCAAAAGTTAGTTTTTAACGTAAAAGTGTATTTAAACGTTCGAAATATGTGTTATTCGGTCTATTTAAAGGAAATATACAAAAAAAAAAGAATTTAATTACTAAAAATACGATTTTTTACTCGAAAATGTGTTTAGGCGCTCGAAAAGAGCATAAATATCGTCATTTCTGGCTTATGCAATTTTTTGACCACTGTGAGCCACATATTAAAAAAACGATTTTTTTCTAAAGTAATTTAATTTTCGACTTAAATAAACGATTTTTTATCTCGTATGAGCGAAATCTTGTGAGATAAGTAAATTTTTAACCAAAAAATGTTGAATTTTAATAATTAACATGTTTAAACGGTCGAAATAAATGTTTTTTCAACTTCGTTTTTACCTTAGGCGTTCTTAAATTTGTGATTTTGAGCGAAATCTTACGAACAAAACTGAATCTTTAGCAAAAACAAACGCAAATACAAAAAACTTAATTTTCAACATAATTTGGTGTTTTTTTAGTCTATTGTGGCGAAATCTTTCGTAATAATTGACTTTTTCCGAAAAAGTTAGTTTTTAACGTAAAAATGTATTTGAACGTTCGAAACATGTGTTTTTTGGTCAATTTAAATCAAATCTACCAAAGAAGGTAAATTTTTACCAAAGAAATATGACGTTTTTACTAGAAAACGTATTTAAACGCTAGAAAAGAGCATCAATATCGTCACATCTGGCTTACATATGAAATTTTGTGATTATTGTGAGCGACATATTTAAAAAAAAAATAGTTTTTTTTGATAAGAACGTATATAAACGGGCTAAATTTTATGAAATAAGTGGAATTTTACCAAAAAAATTTGGGTTTTAATAAATAACATGTTTAAATGTTTGAAATAGATGTTTTTTCGGCTTAGACGTGTTAAACAAAAAGGTCAGTTTTTTCCTCAAAAATTTATTTAATTTCTCGAAATATGTTGGTATGTGTTTTATCTATCTGAAAAAAATCTACAAAGAGATGAATTTTGACAAAAAAAAACTCGAAAACGTATTTAAACACTCGAAAAGAGCATAATTATTCTCATTTTTGATTTAATATGCATTTTATCCTCTCTTCGAGTAAGATTATGCAGAAATTGTGATTTTGTAACCAAAAAAACTCAACTGTTATCTCTAAAACCTGTTTAACTGTTCAAAAATGCTGAAATAGCATCATTCCTGTTCTAAATTTGTAATTTTCACCAAAAAATAGATGAAAAAAAAAAAAAAAACGAAGTAATGTATCGAAAATAGCTTAATTTTTGACAGAAATAGACAATTCTTGGCTTATTTGACGTGGAAAAATCTGATTTTTGAGTCTCTTTTATTTAATTGCTAGGATTAAGTGAAATTGAATAAAAAAATGAGTTTTATTCTAAAAAAAAATTGCTTTTAGACACTTGAAAAAATAAAAATGAGGCTACCTAATTGGGCGATTTTTTCTTTCCATACTAACCTCTGATTTATTACTATTATATTTACCAAGATTCGAAATTCAAATTTAGCAAATTGCAGAAAAAATAAATTTTTGTAAGGTTTTAATCAGTGTTGGTGTTATTTCTCTTTGTAAAATGTGAAAACATTTAATTGTTTTATTCCTTATTTATATTTATTGTCGGTATACAAGCCGGCTCCCTACTATGAAATTTAAATGGTCGTTTCGTATTTATGACCCGAATCCGGAATCAATACGTATCGTATAACAGAATTTGGATGTTATAAAAATGGTTAAAAATCAGATTACTTCAAATAAAGAGTATCCGCAAAGTAGCATATCCTCCGGGCGGCTTTTCGAGTGGTTTGCCCCTTTATAACTTGCTCTATCCGCCAGATAGCTTTATCTATGGATTTCAAGGGCCGTTCAATCAATAAATCAGAGGTCTTTCTGTTTTCTATTTTTCAAATTGAACGAATCGCAAGTTTCAATTGTGCCAAAAGCTTCTGTAATAAAATATGGGAGTGGAGTGGATTAAAGAGCGATTTTCTCTTAAAACTTTATTTGGAAGTATAAAAATGGTAAGCCTATAAGGCCTAATAAATAGAACGAGTTGAGATTAGTGACTTTTAAGCTTGGTGAGTGATTTGAGTACGTTTTTGACGACTTTGTAGCACACAACAACGTGTTTGAATATTCTGCGAAGGACGTGGAATATTAAAGCGACTGCTGCTATGATAAAAGCAATTACGTCTAGGAGAAAATACTGGTAAAATGGCATATCGACACCGGCGTATCTCAAATGTTCAGCCCCATCGTGCCTTATAACGTATTCAATCCACCACACGGCTTTTTCTAAAGCTTCCATAGGCTGATCGCTTGCTATCTTTGACAGTTTTGTAATTTTCTCTTTGTATCTGCAGAAATTAGAGTTAGTTTTCGCGATATTATTTCAAACGATGCGACTCACGATGGATTTGTGATGAGTTCGCTGATTTTCTCCTTAAATTCGTCCGAAGTAAACGAATGGAAATCCAGCGAGAGGCCCCCGCCACTCTGGACTAAATGGTCGCTGTTGTATCTTTGATCCGCGAAGAAGGGAATGGTGAGGATGGGGACTTGGGCCCGAATTGCCTCATCCAAGGACTGAAGCCCGGCTTGGGTCACAAAAAGTTTGATATTTGGGTGCCCTAGAGACAATTTTTACCAAAAAACCCTTCAAAACTGGACTAAACTTACAAAGCAGGTCTTGTTGAGGCAACCACTTCTGAATTTCCACATTCTTCGGCTTGTTTTCCATGTCTTCGCGTTCAAACTTCCAGAGGACTTTGTACGGGAGTTGCGCGAAGGCCTCCATGAACTTCTCAAACTGGGCCTTTGGTAGCAATTCACTCTTCACGTTAGAGCCAAGACTGAAGTAGATGACCCCTTCTTTGGCATCGTCGAGGTATTTTTGCAGCTTTTGGGGCAAACTCTTGCGTTTTTTCAAGTGAATTCCGGACATTTCCACGAAAGCGGGGACTAAAGGCTTGACATTTTGCAAGGCGAGGTTCGAGTTGACCAAAACAAGACTAACATCCTTTGCTATGACTTCAAATCGGCGAATATCACCGAAGAATTGTTCCCTGAATTTGTCCATTTTCGGGCGAAGTGAGACTTGAGCACCCACTTTGAACAAAACTTTGAACACTGTACTAATCACACGTTCCTTGAACGATAAATTCTTGGAGAACGGGAGGGTGAATTCGGGTTCCAGGGCCGGATTGCTGGGGTTTCCTATCGCCTCCATGGCGGTGGCGGTGAGTCCGAGGGAGGAGATCCCCACCATTGGGCACTTGTAGATGTCTTTGAAGCCGTACATCACCGGCCAGAGGAACTCCACGAGGAGGAGATCAAACTCGTATTTGGTGTTATTCTTGAGGAATTCTTGCACTGTTGGGTGACTCAACTGGACTTCACTTACGGCCAAATACGCCTCTGAGAGTTTCTTCACTTCTTCGCTGGTTGAATGCTCTTTGGTGCCCAGAGTCGCGATGCTGTAATTGTTCCAAGTCTTGTACGAGAAGCTTAAGTCGATTTCGGTGAGATTCGTGAGACTGGGGTCGTTGAGGGGGTTGGGGGTTAAGACGGTCACTTGGTGGCCTCGCAGGGATAATTCCCGCCAGATGGGCTGGAAGACCACTTGGTGGCTGTAGCTGGGGGTCATGAAGACCCCGAGGATTCGGGCGCCGAGGCTCGAGGACACGAGACCACACAACACAACCAAAGCAAACATTTTGGAGAGTGAGCGATAATTGGATTGTTTCTCTCTTATATTTGATTGTGATTAAATCAAATATCACAATAGAGGTTTTTCAAATTGAAAGGTTGAGATTTTTTAAGTGGGTACTTGTGTTAGAGATAATTGGTTCATGACCTGTTCACGTGCTAAAACCATAAAACGTGCTTAAAGACACTTTTCAGAAAATTACGACAAGGTTTCGAAACACAAGGGAAAATACATTCAAATTCAATGGTCATTCATTATTCATATTATAATGTATCGGCTCAAGCTGAATTTTCACAAAGTTGATAAAACTGATTCAATCTAAATTTACAATAATGCTTTGAATTTGTGTAATCACTATGCAAATTTGATTTTTTGTTTGTTAGTAACAAAAACTTTATAAACATAGAGATGATCTTGATCATATTTTTTCGCATTGTTAAAGCAATTAGTGTTTTGATGGAAACACCTGCACATTGACGTAGAGATAATCTTAAGTGGATATGCTTTTTTAATTACTTTTTAATAAATGATCAATAAACGATGCAATGGATTCCGTAATTTACTTTCACAATCAAATTAATTTCTAATGATTTTGATTTTGTAAAATGGGAATACAATTGAAATAATTGATTGTTATTTATTCTTAGTTTTACATATTTTATTCGATTTCACGAAATTATTTCGATTTTCAAACACTTAAAATGCCCAACTCCTTAAATAGTTTTAATCGCTTTTTTATCTCGAAAACATTGTCTAGGTTTTGAACCGTCAAAAATTGTGCATCTAACATGGCGAAATATTGTATTGATTAAATGCTTTTAACTTTCTTTAGCTATATTTTTTCATTTGCAAAATGAAATTGAAGAAAAAACATAGGAATATTAGGTGCATAATTGTGGTCTTTAGAATTACTTAAGTTTTCCATAGTGAAATGTTTCAAAGTATTATAAAAAAAAACAAATAATTGTTTTTTTTTAAATTAT